ATTTTACGAAGTATTTCAATTATACTTAGCAACTATGACTGGTTTTTTTTCAAAGTATTTCTTGATTTTAATTATTTTGTACAAATATTTATTAGAGAAATTCTGTAAAAGATTTTTTTTTATCGTTCTATTATCACAGAATTGTCGTACCGTTAGACTCATTGCTAAATTCTAATTCATATGACATTAATAATTAAATTTTACTCATTATTTAAAGAATTACACTTTCAATATGAGAAAAAACATTGATTTTTATTAAAAAAGAAAAAAATAGAAAAACAATGATTCAATATAAAACTAGATTTTTTTTTCAAAAGAATAAATTGATTTTTTTTCTTTAGATTAAATATTGATGAAGGTACTTTATCAAGAAAAACAAAAACTGATGATAATCAATCGAACATTCAATTGAAAACTACAACATGTGACTTATTTATTAATGATGAATTTCAATCGTCGATTGATAATAATTATTTAAATACTCCTTTACCATTTGTAAATTATTTATCAAATCATGAATTAAAGAATGATAATCTTTTACTACGTAATGAAGTTTTAACAGATTTTAATCAATTTGGTGATGATAATATTTCACTAAATTCTGATTATTTACAAACTAATTGCATTTCAACAGAAACAAAACAATTACAACATAATAATGTAGTAGTAAAGGATATTTTTTTATTAGGTAACGATATTGTCCTTGATGGTAATCAATCTGATGATAGTAGTACCTTGTCGATTAATGATAATAAGAATAATGATGTATTACCAGATGATGTTCTACAATTAACACAAGAAAGAGAAGAAATGATAAAAGATTTTGATCGTGAAATTAATAAAACTCACTTTGAATTACAAGAAACTAAAGATAAATTAAAAGCACTTAATGATAAATTATTCCACTTAATTGATTTGAAAAATAAAAAAAGTAAAGTATTACTAAGAAAAATCAATGAATGTACGAGAAATTACAAAAGCAAAAAGTAAATATATTTTTAGAAAAATTTAATTTTAATGTTAATTTAATTAGATCAGGTTTTAGCAAAGTAGAGAAAAAATGTTTAAAGCGATTAAAAAAACAATTTTTTTGATGTTAAACATTAATAGAACTGTAAGTATAATCATTAGATATTTTTAAAAAAATCTGTAATGTAATTATTTATATCTTTTAAGTTTGATGCACCAACATTCTAATGTAGTAAGGGTACTACATTGGTCAAGCTGGTATCATTTAAAATACTTTTTTCTGTGTTTTTTTTTGTATTTTTTTCTCTTTGTTCTTTTTTTTTTGTATTTATGATTGATTCATGTTACAATCAAAGTGGTCATTTAAATAAAAAAAAAGTATTATGTATGTTGAAGACATTTAAATTGAAATATTTGAGGCACTCAAAAATGTTTTTTTCTTCAGGTTTTCAATGAAATATTGTAAGATGAATTTTTGCGTAGTGTTGAAAAATATCATGTTGAAAAATCCAAGCATAAGTGTTCTAAATTGCTTGAATAATTGAAAGAATATTTAGAGAAAAATAACTTAGGATAAAAAATGAATCTTTTGTTTATCTTTTGAAATGATTGAGTTTTAATTGTAAATTATGTTACGACGATAGTAAGGGTGTGTGATTAATAATTGTAATTGGATGTAGATGCTGATCTTTCCTTCATTCAAACCCACTCCATCTCTTTCCTGTTGCCTGTTATGTATCTCTCATTTTTCATGTTAATATAGTAAGAGACTAATAGTACGATTCATTCTTTTTCTTTCTATTTTCTTTTCTTGCTCTATATGACTAAATCTTCTCTCTTCTGAAATCTGAAGTACTTTTATATTCTTTCCTTTATATATTTATCATGAAAATGTATACTGGTCCATGTTGTACCTGTTGCTTCATGTACATCTATCTTCCTTTATCAGATAAATGAATTGTTTGGTTTTCGAACAAGAATTATTTCATCTTGTAATATCATAGAAATATAAAAATGTTCTGCATGAAATGCTTTCAATGATTCATTTAATCAATATTTTACAAATTTCATGCGTTAAAGAGTAGGGTGTCGGCGTATGGGTGGATTGGTGAACAGAAAAACTACACGCCCGCCCACATTCTCACACACTCACCTAATAGTCATAACTCGGCTATAGAGACCTACTGCTGAGAATCGGTTTAGAATACTTCTAGTTTTACGGAAGCTTCATTGTGAACCCTAATATAAGCTTGAACGGCATGTATCAATTCGAGTGGTTTCTTCGTAAATAGGTCCAATAACTTGTCAAAGTTACAAAAATATTGCTTGTGTTGAATTCAATAATGATAGATTTTAAAATTGTTTGAAGAATTCTAGAATAATTCTCATATTTTATACTTCGATAAATATTTTAGTATTCATTAAATATCGATATTTGAAGAAAATATCTTATCTAACATAAATAAATGAATCAGACTCTCGAACAAAGTCTAATACTAATGTCAAAAATTGATCTTGTGCTAAGCTGTAAATGTTCAATACGTAGTGTACTTGAAAAGAATAACTTTGATGTTGCAGGTACTCCAGCTTTTGCATCAATATTAAAATAAAGATTTAAACAACTTGAACAAAAAGAAATCATGTGAATGATGGAGTTTCATTATCTAAATGATATCTTTTTGTTCAATGGTCGAGACAACTCTATTGCTAAAATCATTGCATCATGATACTTTTCAAAAAAATGACTTATAGGTTTCTCAACAAATAAGTCATCAAGAGAAGAATAAGAGTGATTTTGAATGACAATAATAGAAATAAGAAAATCAGATTAAGAACTTTTCGTTATTCGTAAATCATAAAACCAATTAGATTTTTTTAGAACCATATCATTATTTTTCTTATAAGTATAGGAAAAAATGCGCACGGAACGAAATAGAATGAGTAGGAAACAAAATGTATCATGTCAAGGTCACCATACCCATATATTAGAAAATACAAAACTGAATAGCTAATCGATTAAATAAAATTGCGACGTTTCTCCAACACGTAATATCTCACATTTCATATCCTTATCACTGGACGTGCTTATAAATATATGTTTTAAGTGAATATTGAAGTTCAAATGACTTAAAGTATTCTAATGGGAACGAAGATTTGCATCATGCAAAATAGTTTAATTCATAAAAAAAACCAAAAGATAAACTTGGATTCATCTTGGAATTTGTTAATTTAGGAAAAAATAAACATGACCTTTTAATACGAATAGCAATAAAATAAAAACAAAAAACTACTCACAAGATTGATCAGAGTTAGAAATCTATTATAGTAATCACTAGACTGTAGAGTGATTCTATTTATTTTGTTAACAGATGCAATAAAAAACAAAAAGGTCAAAACAATAAATATGTCTCTTTGACATATATATTATACAAGATAATATTGTCCAGTAAGTTTTTCTTTTAATTGTTTTATTAATATTTGTTTATACTGTCCATACTGTTGTCGAACAGCATTGTCATAAACTTGTCGATCATCATCAAGTAATGAATAAAGTATTGCTAATTGTTTATTATTGAATAAAGATAAACATTGAATAAATGAATTTAAATCTACATTAAGTAAAGAAACATCATCATGTTGACGATTTTCTTGTGAACAAACTAGACAAGGTATTGAACGAGGTATATGAACAAGAATTTGTTTAGTAGTTTTTCGTTGACCATATAACCAATATGAAAAATAATAATCGATTGTTTTTGGAACAACAGATTGTTTAATTCCCATCATAATACCAGCAGTTATATGAGAAAGTACAAGACGATAATCAGCCGGTTGCATTTCTACTTATGTTAAGTCAATAGGTTGTCATGTCTTTTATATATGTAATGACGTCTTTAATCGATTTAATCATTTGACATCAATATGTGATGAACGTCAAAGAAACAACAGATTATTTTTCATCATACGATCAATGAAAAATGAAGAAAGAAAGAAAAATGAAGAAAGAAAGAAAAATGAAGAAAGAAAGAAAAAAAAAGAGAAACAAGGATAATATGCTGTTGAGAGATTCTTTGCTTATTCGTTTGCTTTTTATTTAAATGAATAAGAATATTAACTTATTGAAGTAGTAATTAGTATAATATGTTCATTATAATTTCTAAATTGAATTCTGTTTTTATTTTATGTGATTTAGAAAGTATATTTGTCAATATAAGAAAAATACTAGCATGATAATTATTACTAACAGCTTTTTCGTTGATATGGCAATACAAAAGAGTTTTACAGCCATTAAATTTTACAACACGGACATCTTTGAATTACTTTTTTTTTTTGTTTTTTTTTATTTTATGTAGAGTTTTGATTCAATATCAAATTCTTTTTATGATACAAATAGAAATCATGTGAATAGTCAAGAAAAAAAAACTGCAATATAAGTATATTAATAGAAAAAATAAGACTAGAAAAGTAGTGTTCCTATTCATCAGAAGAAAATATATTTCGAGACAAACTAGTGCTATTGGATCAGTTTATAGTTCTAAATCGGGGTTATTTACTAATAAACATTGTAAATATCATTGTTTTTATTCAGTACTGTGACCTATACAAATCATTTGAGAAGCTTGTAAGAAAGTTGATCTATGCATTGGATTCATCATACTGATCTCCTACAACGTCAATATATGTGATATATTTGTAATGATGAATAAAAATTCACAATACCAAAACATTTTTTTTTATAATTGATTGTCGTTCTTTCAGTTGTTTTCTCGAGTTTTTCTAACATATATATATATATATATTTGTTCTGATCCCAATTCTTAGCTAAAGAACGCAAAAAATAGGTGAGACAAAACAAAAAGGTCCCAAACATAGACTATTAATAGTATTGTGGTTTGTTATTTAGTAAAAGAGAACGCCACTAGTTTTTGCTTTATGCTGTTATCAGTTGGCACGAATACAACAACGATGTATGCGTCAGCATTTCCTCATTTTTCATTCTCGTTTTTTTTCGCTTCTTACTCGAAAGAACATCAATGTTTAATGATTTAAATTGAATACTAAAGAAAAAAGAAAGTAAGTTTATTTTGTGATGATCATATATTTCTTTTATAATTGAATTGAAATAGTTTTTATACGAATTGTTAACCCTTAAGAGCTGAAGTGGTTTCCGCCTATATAAATGAGAATTTCATTAGAAAAACAGAGGTTATGGACCCTTAGTATACTCGTACTATAGTTAAAAATAATTACCTTCTTCTTATTCTGGACCCGCGCAACCTCCTTTGGCAGGAATATCCATCCCTGTAAAATCCGAAAAAATAGGAATTTCGATCTGAAACTTTGCCTTTGGATAGTTTTGATAATACTTAATATGATTNTTAGGGGTGATTATTTCGTGTTAATTTACTCTAAATTTCAATTTTTAAGAATTTTTAGATTTATTAAATTTTCGTAAATGTAAATTGATCATTCCTACAATAATTAGATGCTTAAAATGTTATTGTACATGGGTTTTTTTGAAAGCAGTGGCAGTGGTCCATAGTTGTACGCTCCTCAAAACAGTTTCATCGATAAATTATTCCCAAATAAAAAATTTCTGATTGCGCCACTGCTTGGATGGATAAATCCTTCCCATATTAAACCTTTTTTATTGCTTTCTCATTAAGTCTATTGTATTCCTTTCATATTAATAAATACATTGATAAATCCTATATATAGATCTCGTACGAAACGAGAAATATTCATCTATGAGATCAAACGAAAAATGACATGTATCAAACTGCGATTAGCATGAGATATGGTATTTACATTATATCTTGAAGTATTTAATCAAAAAACAAAAAAAGAAATATAAAGAGAAAAAAAAACTAAAAATAACTTGAAAGAAAGAAAAAAAGAAATAACCAAAGCCAAAATGATATTTTGATGGATGTAAAAAACTAAAAGAAAAGGAGCATTACAATCGGAACACTTATATTAGGTTGTACGTCTTGTTATAGCATAACTCAATTAGAAATCGTTTAACTATGTTAAAACATTTATTTCACACATTGTCTATTATATATAAGTGAACTGCAACTTTTTACTGCAAATGATGTGAAAAAAATGATGATAAACATAAACAATTTCTGAGTAGTACATTTATCTAATTGTAATAAGACTTTAGCTCGTGTACGATAGATATGACACTAATTATTTACATTCATCTTTATTCATATTTGATAATTATTCTCTACAGCTAACAACACAATGAAAAATATTTATAATTAAACAAAGATTCAATAATATTTTCGATATCTACAAGTTGTTGAGTTGTATTCTTATGAATACTGAGAGAAGCTAAATTACGAAGTCTTTCATCAGCTGTTCTATTGTGTAAATAAATTTTAATTAATTTCATGACAGAAAATGAATATTCGGCAGTAGCTACCGACACCGGTATTATATGTACATCTGAATTTGAGTGAGAATAATGATCAACACATTTGGTTGCTTGAATAAAGGAATCTTTATGATAGTCACATTTATCACGATTTGCTAAATAACGAATAGCATTTTTTAATAATCTTAATGGTCTATTAAACATTTTCATAGAGACACTGATTTTTTCCTTTTCTTGGAAATAAAACACAATATCGACAATAAATTGTTGATCAAGTTTCAGGAATTATCTACTATTGATAATTATGAGATATTTTTATCGATATTACTTTAAGATCTCTTATTAAATACGAAATATGTACTAATATCTTTCTGGTTTTTATTCACTATTTTTGATAAATGTTTGCTGAAAAAATATTACGTTAATAATGTTAAATGTCAATTATATAGTAGAAAACAATACTTATGATTATTTGTATCATACGTATATTTAATATCAATTATAGGAAACAATATGTCAGTACAAAGGCACAATTCAGATTGATTGTTTAACACAAATATCGATACAAATAAAAACATTGTAAATTGATAGTGTAACTTTTTCTTGAGAACGAAGCAATCGATTCCTCAATACTCTCCTCTCTATAAACATTTCTTATTATACAGCAAAAGTTAGACAATACTTCACTGAGTATAAAGCAAGATACACAATGTGAAATTCGACTTCTGCTTAATTCAATGATTAAATTGGATTTATTCAATGAAAATCGCAATACATTCAGATTTGTTCATTGCATTTTTCTGAGTTAAATTATATATGAAAAGAATATTTTTGAGTTGGTTAAACTGGAAATATTGGCATAAATAGAGTCATTGCATATTTTGTGGTTTGATTTGAATATATTTGAACAATAAAAGCTAGAGGGTTGAAATTGTTATTGCTAATATAAATTATTGACCATTCGATAAGTTGAAAATTTGAATTAAAGCAGAACAATCGTTGATGAGTGATACACCAAATGAGTTTTAAAATGTCACAGTACAAAGTGAGTGAATATATTTTTTTTAAGTACTTTATGTATCCCATTTTCTTTAATATAGAAATAAGAAAAAATAAAAATTTTTATATCAAAAAGTTATTTAATAAGTTCTCTATTGTTTGGTGTATTGATTTTTCTATTCAAGAGAATGATATACTAGCTAGAAAATGGTTAACTTTCATTTCATTTTTGATTTCTTTCATTTCTCAGACAAGCATAAACTCTGTAATTTAGGAACGATAAAAGATAGAAACATTTAATTTGATGTGGATGTGTAGGATTATGAAGAGAAATAAAATTAAAAAACCACTTTATAATCGTTCTATCGGAACGAAAGTTATAGTGGAGATACTCGAAAAAACCAATTGTGCAAAAAAGTAACAATTTACTTCTAATCTATATGAATAATCAGAAAAATGTACTCTGATGGTTACATTGAAAATCAAAGATAAATTCTAAGAAAATCTTCCCTTTAAATAATCAATTTTGTAAGATTATTAGTTAATAATAATGATTTGGAGTATTAATCGTTATGACTCATAGACTAAATAAAGCAATCGAATGCATAAAATGATGTAATCATTTTTGAACTTGTTCTCTCACGTATTTGACTTTATTGTAGGAAAGATATTGTAATACATTATTCAATGATTATGTAGCAAAGAATATTGATATTTACATCCGTTTCTCTACGTGCACTAACGATTCATGGTTGGAAATGTTCATCATATCAGTCATTGTTAATAGTGAGTTTAATACATAGGTTGATTCTTTTGTTTTAGTGCACGTTCTTATATATCTGTGCTTATTTAAAATTTGCACAATGATGGAAGTAATTTCATCTGAAGTAATCAAAATGATTCTACGATTTCTTCTGATAATTTTTTGTCAATGGACATTGATTTATTGTCAATTAAATCTTTATAATACTGATCGATCAATGAATGATAATTCTTTACAATTTGATTGTTTGTATTATCGTGTACGTTATGAAAAATTAGCCTATCAAGAGTTATCAAATGTAATTGATAATATAATTCCATATTGTTTTCGTCCGATAAATCAAAGTGAATTATTAACTTCAGATTTTGAAAATACACATAGTCGAACTTTTACTTTCGATGAATTGCGTTTTAATAATGTTACAACACAACAACTTCTTTCATGGTCTGCTTCAATAGATCTTGTTGAACAATATCAATTTTATCTAAATGAAATAAATCCTTCTCTATCGTCATTATCAAATGAATTATTCTATAATTGTACAAAACCATGGTTTGGTCTTCAATGTCAATATTCGTTTGAATTTAGTGAAGAAATGTCAATAAATCATATTGTTGAAACAGAATTTTCTCGAAAAACATCATATTCTGAATCATCTAAAATCTTAACAAAATTATCGTGTTATATTCATCTTAAATGTGATCGTGGTGGACCTCTATTATGTCTTGATTGGCGTGAAATATGTGATGGACGTGTTGATTGTCTTGATGGAGGTCTTGATGAAGCATTCTGTTTCGATATGGAAATCAATGAATGTAATCAAAACGAATATCGATGTCATAATGGTTTGTGTATTCCAGAAGAATTTTGGAATGATGGTATAGGTGATGCTGATTGTCTCGATCGATCAGATGAAATAGCTGATATATCGTATCCAAGATCTTGTTTTCAAGATCCGACATTTCGTTGTGAAGAACATTCTTGCAGAACGAATTGGCATCAATTTCCATGCGGAGATGGACAATGTGTACAAAAATTTGATACATGTCATAATGGACGACATGCTTTATTAATTCAATCGATGACATTTCAAGGTCATTTACCGAATAAATGTTGGATTGCAATGATTTGTCTTACAATGTTAGTTAATGAAGTCAATGGTATATCATGTCAATCATGGTTAATAAAAGATTCAGTCATAGAATTTCTTCAAACTTGTGATTTTATTTTTCAATTTCCAACGATTCCTGTTCATCTTGGTCATATTCGTTTTTTATATGAACAACCTCATTTAAAATTGAATCGAAGTTCGTTTATGTTACCCGATTATGTTTGTTATGATGAAAAATTATGTGATTGTATTATACCAACATTTTTTCATGGAAATCTTTCTTGTTTACATCGCAATGAATTACAATTACAATTAACTATTTCTGGACATCCATGGATTGATATGATTTTAGAAATTAATTATCATTTTTCGTCTTGTTTAATTACGCACACATTTTTCGATAATAAAATAATGTATCGAAATATTTCATCACTCTATTCTTGTCAAAATTCATCTAAACTCATTTCGAAACATCGTATTGCTGATGAAAATAAAGATTGTTGTATGGATGATGATGAAGATCCTCAACTTAGTTGTTTACTCAATGATAAATATAGAGTTAAATGTCCTAGTCAAGATATATGTTTATCATCATTACATTCGATTCATGATTGTCCGGAATCTCAAAATCAATATTATAATCATGTTCCATTTTATATATTTTGTGATGGTTTTGAAGAACATTCTTTTGAAGATTTTAATGATCAAAGTTATACAGACGAATCAGAATGTAACTATTGGCCATGTAATAATATTTATTCACAATGTGATGGTTTTTGGAGATGTTCAAATGGAGAAGATGAAGATAATTGTCATCATATAATATGTCCTTCTGGGACACATCCATGCATATCTCCAATTAATTATTCGTTAACTTGCCTATCTGCCGAGCGAGTTGGTGATGAAATTGATGATTGTCTTGGAGCATCCGATGAAATATACTTTTGTCGACAATTATATCCTTTAAAAAAAGATTATGAACGTTTTCGTTGTACAAATAGTGATCTATGTTTATCAATATTTGAACTATGTGATAGTATTCAATCTTGTCCACTTGGTGATGATGAAAAATTTTGTAAAAGTCAACAATTTATATGTCAAGAAAATTCATTTAGTAATAACAGTTTAATCGAAGATGTTCTTTGTCAACTAAGTGAATACAAAAAAAGTCGAATAATTCATTTTTCAATTCGTACTGGAGCTATTTATCCACACTCAACATCTGCTATTATAGATTCAACTATGCCATGGACAAAAGAACAACAACATCGTAATTTTAAAACTATTCAATCTCGAATGAATAATTCTTCATGGCCATGGTATTGTAATCGAGGACTTACAACTCGTATTTGGTTTCGAAATGATTTATTTAAGTATGGATGTATGTGTCCACCCAGTTATTATGGAGATTTATGTCAATATCAAAATGAAAGAGTAAGTTTAACATTAGGATTAATTAGAGCTGAGAAACATAATGTTTATACTATTGTTATTATGTTAATTGATGATAATGATGAACAACAAGAAATTGATTCATATGATCAATTCGATTATGCACCTAGTCGAAGTTGTGGAATTAAATTAAATCGTTATCTTTTATATTCTACACGACCAAAAAATATTTCAAAAAATTATAGTATACGTATTGATGCATTCGAAAAAAATGCTATGACTTATTGTGGAAGTTGGCATTTATCTATACCTTTTCTTTTGTTACCTGTTAATAGACTAGCTACTCTACTTGCTATTCCATATCATCCAGTTCCAATTTCATTCAACTGTTCGATCACATGTAAAAATGGTGAATGTATTAAATATATAAACAAAGATAAATATTTCTGTCGATGTTTTTCTGGTTGGTCAGGTGTTCAATGTAATATACCGATCAATTGTAAAAGTTGTTCATCTGATTCAATTTGTGTGGGTACAGTCAAAAATCGGCCAATATGTATATGTTCTTTAACTAAATTCGGACCACGATGTCTTCTTACTTCATTATGTACAATAAATGCTTGTGAAAATAATGGTCAGTGTATTTCAACTGATATAAGCTTTTCTAATACTGATTATGCTTGTATTTGTCCTGATCAATTTTTTGGACCTAAATGTCAATATGTTAAAGCTAAACTCGATATATCTTTAGAAAATTTGGATATTCCATCTTATCTAACAGCTTTTTTTTTTACTGTTTCTGAACAATCAGAACCAACATGTACAATTATGCTTCAAAAATTAACTCTTTTTCAACGTATTATAACATTTCGTATTTCCGTTCCATATCATATTGTTGTGATTAAATCAAATGATAAATTTTATCTTGGTGTTGTACAACAAACTCCAAAGATTGACATTTCTACATCAATTAATCCTACTCGAGAATGTTTTCCTATTGAAGAAATATTTAATTCTACTTTTATGAAAATGCCTCAATTTCATCGAATTAAATTCTATCATATTCCATGTCAAACTAATTTCCATCTAAATTGCTTTATTGATGAAACTTATTTATGTTTATGTACTACTGATCATCATGCAAATTGTGTTGAATTTGATCATCATAAAAATCTTCAATGTCCATCAAAACATTACTGTGCAAATGGAGCACAATGTCTACAAGACCATCCTAATTGTCCATCATCAATAATCTGTGTTTGTAATGAATGTTTCTTTGGTAATCAATGTCAATTTTATTCGAAAGGTTTTGGTTTATCATTAGACGAAATTTTAGGTTATGAAATAAAGCGTAATGTTTTTCTATTTAAACAATCATTCGCAGTAAAATTAAGTGCTTTAATAACAATGATTATGTTTACAGTTGGAATTATTAATGGTATATTTTCAATTTTAACATTTAAAAATAAAAATTCTCAAGCAGTTGGTTGTGGAATATATCTTCTTGCTTCATCAATAACTTCATTATTAATTGTGATTTTATTTACATTAAAATTTTGGTTTCTTATTCTTTCTTATATTGATTTTTTTGCACAAAGAGTGATTCTTTATTCAAATTGTATGGTAATTGAACCTTTATTAAAAGTTCTTTTATATATAGACAATTGGTTAAATGGTTGTGTAGCTGTTGAAAGATCATTTGCAGTTTTTAAAGAAGTTCATTTTAATAAGAAAAAAAGTAAAAAAATAGCTAAATGGATGATTGGTTTTATGATATTTATTAATATTATTCTTCTCATTCCTCAATTATCAAATCTTCATTTATTTGATGATGAAAAAGAAGAACGTACATGGTGTGTAGTACTTTATTCATCATCTCTACATATTTATAATTCATTTATAATATTTTTTCATTTTTTGACACCATTTTTTATTAATTTATTCTCAGCTATTTTCATAATAATAGCAACTGGTCGTCAAAGAGGTGTTATAAAAAGTGATTATCTTTATATGAAACAATTTAAAAATAAATTAAGACAACATAAACATCTTCTTATTAGTCCAATTATTCTTATTATGTTATCATTACCTCGTTTAATAATTTCATTTACATTAGATTGTAAGAAATCATCTAAACATTTTTGGTTATATCTTATAGGTTATTTTGTTTCATTTATGCCATCAATACTTGTATTTGTTGTATTTGTTTTACCATCAACAGTTTTTAAAAAAGGATTTAAAGAAGTAATACGTCATGGTCGACGACGTGCTTCTTTATTTAAAATGGACTTTTATTCAAATAAACGTCGTTGATATTATTCTATTTCAATATACATATAATTAAAGAATTTAAAATATGATAGTTATTATTCTGTGTTATTATCTTTGTCGTATTATTGCTTCATTTGCTTTGTATTTTCGTAAACTCTACTATTAGTATATTTATGGACATACAATCTATAAATGTGCTCATTACATGAGTAATTTATATAAAAATCTATTTCTGTAATGTATTAGTTCGAATATTTTTGTCTGAAAATTCATTCTTTTTCTCTTTTCAAAGTGTATTAGTTGAATACACTTCTTTCTTTATCTGATAAGACACATAAGTATTTATTGTAAAAAAAAAATTAGATTTACTATGAGTATTGAGAATACGAAATTTGAAACAATAATATTAGCAATTTGACTAAAGATTGGTGCGGTCCTATGGTCTAGCGGTTAGGACATTGGACTCTGAATCCAGGAGCCCCAGTTCAAATCTGGGTAGGACCTTCGCTTTCTTTTTTTTTCTCTTTCATTTCTTGTGTCAATACTGATGCAGGAAAAAGGAAAACGTTCTGTTGTTTTCTTTCTTTTTTCTCGCTTTTTTTTTGATGGATTATTTGCTTACAATTTTTTTTTATAGTGATTTTCTAATGTCAACAATAAACTTGAGTCATATACTTTAATAAGAGAAGACAAGTTTTCTTTATTTTACACATATTTATACTTCTTGTTCCAGTGTACATCATCTCTTTTTAAGAATAATGAATAAATTTGCTTTTTATATGTCTAAATTATCAGTAATCTAGAAAAAACAAATTTTCGAAAAAATTGAAGCTGAATCAATTCGATTTCGAATAATAAACTGTTTTGATATCATTTAACAGCAAATATTTATATAATATAAATCTATTTTATGTAATCATCTTGTTACTTTGTGATTTATTTTATTATTCAACGAATAAAATTGCTGAATAATGTTTGCATTAGAAAGATGACAAAATTTCTTATTTTTAGTATTAAATGTTTTATTAGATTAAAACAAATAAATTTATTCAAAATTATAGAATTACATTTTTCACAACTTTCTATATTTTTATTATTTACTATGTTAGATTTTCATCATAGCAAAGTTAGTCTTGGAAACATATAATAATCTATGGAGTAGTCCTTATCGATATCGCTCAATTCAATCTTCTCATATGTAGCAAAAGTATGACATTATTATTTCATTTCTGCTGTAGGATGCATTGATAAATCGCGAGTTTACACTGTGAAAATTGGCCTATCTAAACTTAGTGTATAGTCTATTCAAGAAAGTTTTAAGGTAAAATCGAAGCGATTCTCTCTTGGAAATCTAATAGATTAACATTTAATAGTTTGTCCATACTTTTTTCTTAAGCTTTAGAAACTCTTGTGTTTGGTTTCAAAAAAGAAACAACTAAAGGATGTGTTCATGCAGATGAACTCCTCAACGTAGCAGCAACAATATACTACGTATATAATCATAAATAATATTTCATTATTTCTCCATGACGATCTGAATTTATTAGTCAACAAGTAAGCTAAAGAGTCTGGAATTAAAAATATACAACTGATTGCAAGCATATAAGAGATATTTTGATGATCAATAAACAAGCAAATGAAAAAAATAGATTTCGAAAGGATTAAACAGAGAACCATATGAAATCATTTTATCAAAATCAATAACATTTCTTCATATGGTATGAAGTATTAAACCACATTACTTCTATTAGGTATGAAATATAAAGTACGTCTTAGTCAATCAACACTACTGCAACTGTTTGACCGATTATTGGAAGATTCATATTAAATATTCTTGAGTCGATGATCAGTCGTGATCGATGCCAAATATTGCGATAGATTTGTGTTGTGTTCGAAGTTCGAATATTGAAATAGCACATAGCAAAGGAATTAGAAGCCTACTGTAGTAAGACTTGTACAAGCTAAAAAAAAAAAATAAACATCAGCATCGATATTTTTTGGTAGCCCGCATATATAAACAACCTATAAAAAAACAATCAAAAAATATATTAGCAAATAAATATAGATCTTGGTAATAGGTGAACTGCGAATTTTGGATGTAGCTGAAGAGAAAGCGCTAACACCCGAAAAATTCATTTTTTTCTAACATAAAAGAGAAAGGTGCCAGTTATAATATCATTAGAGGTTGAATGTGGATCATTTTTGATAAGTTGTCGAACTTGTTCAATATTTTCATATGTAAGCTCGGAAATCGAATGACCAGATCGATACTCATCATTAATATAATCTCTTCCTTTACGAAAAACTTTCGTATATCTGGTTGTTATGAGAAACAATAGAGCATTAGATTCAAATGCTGTCCTAAGTTTTTTATGAATTGTCTTTTCATTTATTCCCAACATAGTTCAAATTTATTATGATCACAATATAAATTTATATTGAACTTTTATGGAATGTTCTTGATTTCTGTCTTGAAACATTGATATCATTGTTTCTTCATGTTACTCACGTTGTATTAAAATATTTTTTCAATTACAAAATTGAGATGTCGGGCATTAAATTAACTGAGAAATAAACATGTATTTATGAATGAAAGATTTGTAATTATATATAGTAAGAAAAAAAATTGAATAATCTATTATGAATCCTTCTAGTGTATTGTTTGTACGATGTATAAATTGAATCGAGAAAAAATGATTTCATCGAGATGACAGGTATTCATTTTCGTATATATATATACTTAAATAGCGTTAGAGAAATTTTTAAACTTTTTCGTATGTGTAGAATTAGTTGTAATGCACCTTTTTCAAAGATATTAAACATATATTCCAAATAAATGAATAACATTTCGAATAAATTAGCTAATTTTTCTATAAGATGGTATTGCTAGAATGATGAAGTAAATGCTGAAAGTTGATGAAAGTAAAATTAATAAAAATGACTGAATAACTATGATACAAAGAAATTTTCAGCTTAGAAAGAAGTTACCTAATATTTGACTATGACCCTAAATTGGTCAGCAATAATGAAAAAACAATACACAATTGAAGTGTTTGGTTATGTGCACAAAAAGAAAGACATTTGCTGCAGCTTGCTCAAAATATAACATACAACACTAGTAATAGGATGCAATTTTAATACCATTTTCAGTTGCATAATTAAGTGAGCCTGAGATAGTCAATTCATGTTGTTCTTGTTTTCGATTGCACGTTACCATGTCAACTAAAGAATATATTTCTGAATTAGATGACTATCAATCGAATATGATTGAAGAAATGTTTTTGATGTAATTTCAAAGATTCTATTAGTAAGCTACTCTAAATGTTTAATTCTATTTATTAATAATATTTAAATACGATATATAAATTCATGAAATGTAGTAAAATATACAAAGTGACTCAACAGTTTGTCCTCCATAGAAAAAATAAATTTTACTTTCTCTCTCGTTATTAATAAACACTATAACTTTGATATTTCATGTCCTGTAATTCGATAACTATATCTAGCTTATATATTTGTAAATCTGCTTAGGAGATAGTAAAAGTAGTGATAACAGCACTTTAAACCGTATTAGAAGGCTTAAGGAAATTTTATCCGTGAATATACAGATAGTTCAAACAGTATTCTGTAATTTTGTAATATTTCATCATTCTTCAGTTGGCATAATTCATAATGTAAGAATTTCTATCAAAGCTATTTACGTCGGCTTTAGATGAATAAGTAAAACTTTCGTGTCAATATTTAAGTTTCTATCAGTGGTACTCACCATTTAGAAATTCGAAATTCAACCGCAATTGAGATTGAATTTGAGGCATTCAAGATATTCTACAAGTAGGGTGCCTCGAAACACTAGTACACAAGCTTACTGAAGAGATTACTAAGATTGACATGTACAATTCCAACTCAGAAGCTTCAAGTAGTACATTTCGCTTGATTTTCTTGAATATTTGACTTTCGAAACGTCCAAAGAATTCAAGAAAATTAAGATACTCTACAATTAGGGATTTATAGCATTTCCACATATTACCTTAGTAATCGGATTACAAAGACTGGTGCATACATTGCTAATGTAGATGGCCTAAACACTGAATTCTGCTCGATTTCCTTGAATTTTCAATTTCTGGTAGGTCAGTACATTTCCTAATGAATATATTGTTGACTTCTGAATGACAAAGCTGACTAAGATGAAATTTTGAGTTTTAATAAGATATTCCGCTTGCCTCGTTTCAATCCGTGTACCATATCGACAATATGCGACAAGAAATCGCAAAGCTAATTATTTCGATGTTTTGAAAATTTGATCGAGTTTTAAACATCGGAAAATTGCATGTACAAAGTAAATATTTCTACAGATATGCAAAGCTTAGTCTTCACGAACAGTAAGGCTATGACTATGAAGAAAAACACGATACTACATATTGAGAACTATACACAACATTCAACCACAAATAATTCTTTCATACGAAGAGAAAGTTATTAATAGCGCATAGAATAATTTTCCGAGCATAAAATAAATTATGTATATTTTAGTTTCTTATTCTAAACTACATTGGTCGATTTTTGAATATACTATGAAAAATCATCCGATTCAATTTCTTAATAAATATCTACAGTTTTCACACTACAGTTACTGAAGTATCGAATGTGTGTTTGGTCAAAGGTTGTCATCTCGAAGTCTTCTTTGTTGCATATTCGATAAATATATGACAAAATCTCCAATCGATTTTGTGAGGTTCATGTACTTGCATAAGGAGTGTCACAGTCATGAATGTTAAATTATTGCTAGATAGCGCTAGCATAGAATTTTTACTCAAAAAGATAAATCAATTTAGATAAAAGTTGTTAATGTCCTATACAAATATATAAACAAATAAGTGCTTCTAAGCATTTTTCTGAATGGATATTCGAGATATTCTGTATTGTCAGACTATTTTGTGAAATGCATTTGTTTAACGCTACTTTTAAGTTCACTGATAGATGTATGAGTCGCAGGTAACCTATTCGTCAACATACACTCGAATGAACGAGTATATCAGTGGTCTATAATATCCTTGACTTCATCCACGATCCTCTATTGCAATACACAGATGAAGATCAATATAAAACAAGCGTAAGAACGTATCCGTTGACGTCTAAACCATAAAATTTTATACGACTAAAAGTATCACATTATCAATGAGCTCTTAATTAACACAAAAGGACAGTGTTAATGACTCAGAAATGTCTGCATAATAATTAATAATGATTGTTAATATGCCAGCTAGTTAATAGAATCGATCAAGAAAAACTATGAGAATTATGACAAGATTATACAGAGTAGTAGGAAATGTTCGATCAAGACAGTTTCTGATTTAGAATAAAGAAAAAACGTAGAATGGATGAAATAAATATGATTTAAAAGAACTAAGCGCAAATGAAGTCAAATATGATCGATGAAACTATTGTATATGTTTGATACTTTTTCAAAATCTAAAAGAAAGAATAAATTCATTAAGATACATATACAAAAAAAAAGCGTTTTTATATTAAATCGTGACACTTTCTAAAAATTTTTCAAGTTCTTTACGTCGTATCATATTTCTTACTTATTCTCTCAATTTTCTCGAGGATGAAAAAGACAAAAGTATGCACAAAGAATTCTATTTATTGATCATGTTCGAAAATAAAATAGCTGCTCATAAAATTAATGATAAAACTTATAAAAATAAAACGTACTTATCTTGTATTTGATTTTGTCAGTTAGTACGTGTATCGTAGTTTTGTAATAGCTATCATCATTGCAACTTTTATATTGTTTCAAGTTTCACGAGATGTTTTCTTCTTGAATATTTTACAATAAAAGAAAATTTAAATTGAAGTCGCAAAAAAAAATACCTAAACAGTCAATAGATTTGACTTAGATTTGCATATAAATCTTTTTTATTAACTACACGAGTAGTCAAAAGTGTTTCATCTATCATTTTCTTCTTCGCGTTTAAATATCTTTACTTTTTCAAAAATGAATTTTTCATTGACTCAATTCTATAATTAGATTATATTTTAAAAAACCTTTAAATTATTTTATTGCGTCATATTTATTTTTTTAATATTTATACAAAACATTTTCGTATGCTATTTTTATTTATGTCATGCGGTGTATTCGCCCTCTAAAAGAGAAGATAAGTGCAGAGAACGAAACAAGTTTAAAATTCTAAATATTCTTCTAGTTCGACCGGTGACAATCAATCTCACATTTTTGTTTCCTTATCTATCAGTATTTTTTCTTTTTTCTCGGTCTTATAATATCAATATGAGCAAACGAATAGTAATATTTTTTTTTTTTGACTGCGTCCATCAGATTTTTCTTATCAATGTCATAAGACTAATGGGTAAGACAAAGATAAAACCAACCCCAAGGGTAATAGCGTATGAAATATATTGTATCCTGCAGTTTATACATCATTCAGTTTAATAATGGACACATATGAATATAACAAAAAGGTATTTATAAGATATTTTGTTTTTGAAGAAAATCAAACAAAGAAAAGCATGTAGGTTTTTAACTGAAAATTAGACTGAAAATTTAAACAATCGATAGATTTATCTTTTAAAAACGAGGATCTTACAGAACGTATTTATTTTTAAACAGGATATTTCAAAAGTATTCGCTTTTCTGCGAGCTCAGCTTCAAGCTAAAGAAAAAGAATTACTTGAATTACAACGAGTTGATCCATGTTTATTAGCACCTGACTATGATCAGATTGATATGTTGGTTGATGCAATTGTTTCTCTTCAATTGTCTACTCAAGAAGGATCATTTGTTTTTGCAGCGACTTCTCTTTCCAATGATGTATCACCTTGTACATACGTTTGTTCAACTGGTTTAAACTCAATCAAAGCTCTTCCATCTTCAGTTTGGCTTTCGCAATCGAATTCTGTCAAACAGAAAAATGAACAACAATCATTCATCTTTAGCCACCTTTTATCGTTACCTATCAATACTTATCTGGCATCATCGTCTCCATTATTTGGAGCAACATCTAAAATACAAAATCGATCATCAAACCGTATTCATGTGGCTAATCATTTGCTCTTTATGCCTATTGATACTTTCAAAGCATCTTCTAAAAATCTAATACCAGCTAAAGTTCAAAATAATAAAACTATGTAAGTATGTTAAGTAATATTCTCTAGTGAGTTTTATTTAGGATCTGCTAACATAGACAGAATTAATAAATCAAATTAATATTTCGTTCTAAAATTGAATCTATTTTTTTATTAATACTCAAAAAAAAGTATTGTATCGCGATAGGCAAGCGAATTATTGAAATAATATTGTAAAATTATGAATATTTAGTGTTTGATTTTGTTTTCAGACAAAACAATGTGTCATCAAGACAAGAAAAAACGAAGAGTATCTTGAATAATGAGGTGATTTTTTCAAAAGAATATTGGCTTCAAAACAACCAAAATGCATCGTCTGCAGCAGATAAAATATCTGGTCATACTTGATACAATGGAAACATCTATGACTTCGAAAAATGCTCTTTAATTAAATTCAATCAATCAAGTTTACTAACAAAAACTATGTCAACATTGAACTTTTATTAATTTACCGTTCTTACACAAATATAATCATTTTCTCTGTTAGTTAACAAATGATTAACAATTTAATACATTATTTTTTTTTCTGTATATTATTCTTGTTTTTACACTGAATATCTAAACATACAAATATTAATTGATTTAAAATATTATTTATCTTTGACAAAAAAGTTCACGTTTTTTTCACACAATTCGACATGTGTTTAAGAAGTTTGTGAATACGATATCAATAAACAATAACAAGAAAATTTTTTAATTCTTTCATGATAAAAATGTTTTCTTTTATTAAATAACTAATCATTCGTTCTTTGAATTACGATTATATAAAACATATTAATCCTTTTGAAATTACAACTATCTTTAGAAAGATTTATGACAAAGCTTTAAAAAAGATCAATAAACTCCAATACTCTGAAGCAATTACAAGCTCTAATCTTTATGCACCACGCACATGTGTAAGGCAGTAGACTTACTCTGGTTGCAGCTAAAGCGAAAATGAATATAATTCGCAAAGTTTAGTAGCAGCTGAATCATTATTACACATTTATCAAAAGCTTGAATCTGTTGTTGAAGGACTGTCTGACATATAAGTTTTACATTATGTACTAATTAAAACGTCAAATGTTGTAGCATGTTCGAAATACTAGTGTTTTTTTTCAGTTTAGTTTAGTTATAAACGAAGTATAAAGTCCTTATATTTCCTTATCGAAAAATCTGTTTTTTTTTGCGAGAAACTTTCACATGCATATATCTAAAATAAGTTTTCTTGGCTCAATCATCAATTATTTAACTTTATGTTTTCATTTTTTATTAAATAAAATCGTTGTATTATATTTTGAAAATACTCTCTCTCAGATACAACAGTTATTATCATCAATATCCTATAGCAAAAATATTAAGTCTTTTACATTGAACTATCCGTCTTATTACAATGTCAACAGTTAATGAAGCTCATAGCAGTTGAATTAATATCGATTATTTCTATTGATGTACTATGAACAACAATCATAGAAATTTTTCAAATGAATTCTTCTCTAACGTAAAAATTACCACTAAAAATGTGTGGAGCTAACTTTTAAGTTCGCCTCCGGTCTCAAGTCGCAGGAAAAAGAACTTGACAAGATCGAGATTGAAACTAAGAGGAAAAAAAAGTTATCTCAACCAAAACTAAAGATTATAGTTAAATATTCTATGATTTCTTATGCGAATTATCTTATAAGTCATAAATGAGAATATAATTCAAGAGAAATTACACAAAAATGTACTTGCCGTCCCCTGCATAAATCAAAAATCGAATTTGAAGAATATTTTTTTAGATGTAGTATGAATACATTCTAGAATAATTTCCTCTAGCTCGCGACCAGATTAAATTTATCGAGATCATAATCGGAACTGGAGACAAAAAAAAAATTAATTAGGTACATCTCGAATAAACATTGCCAAAAAATGTCTTTATTTAAATACAGAAATTAAAGTATTGGAAAAAAAGCTTGAATAATAGCAATATCATACATAGTAAACAATTAATCTTAATAATACAGTTGAATATAATTTTATAATCAGTTTGTAATTTTCAGTTTTTGTTCATTAAACACGGTCATCATCAGGACTAAAGACATCACTTGTTAGTATCAATGTTATCATGATAATTGTTATTACTCAAGTTTTCTTTCAAACTTGTTTATTGTTATTATTTTAGAATTACATAATTGAATGTTCAACTTTAATTTAAACACATTCATTTATATCATATTCAGAATTAATTGATACATATCGATGCTTACGTCTGTTTATTTGGATTCCTAGCTAATTGTAACTGCTTATTTTGTAATAAATGGAAATCTAAGGTGACAAGTAATGTCTTGAATGTTGATGATGACCGTTCTTAATAAAAAAAAAAAAAGATCGAAGATTCTAAATTGTATGCTAAATTATATTAAACTGCATTACTGTGATTAATTATTTACTGATGTCTGCACTAAAATTAAAAAAATGGTACGCCTCATCTCAATAACTCGACAACGGCAACAGTTAGTAACCTGTGATTATCGAGTAATTGAAAGAAAACTGCACGTATTTCTTTTATCTGATATTATGCAAGACAAAATTATTTAAAAACACATGATGGTTTGCCGTTTTGAGGCGGTTTTGATTCTAACATGTTTTTCTCATAGAGATACTTCAGATTTGTAGTTTAAACTATGATTCAATTGATTATATTCTCATATTTCAATGTTGAGCAAACAAAAATGCATATATATTCATTCAAACTATATAGAATTTTTCTGACTTTTTATCCAAATTTACTTGAAAAGATTTTGTTTTATATAGTATTATACGAAAAGATATCCGGATTTCTTCTCTTTTGATGGCTGACTATTACTGTTGTAGAGTTATTAAGACTACACTCATCCCTCTTGAATTCTGAAGCGGACATAGAAATGAGAATATCTTTTATTATCAAATTAAGTCAAAGCAATTTCCGGAATATTTCTAAGAACAAAAAAAAAGAGCAAAATTACATACATTTAGTCTTCCTGTCACGTATTGACATTTTATTTAGCCAGAACAAATAAAATTTAAAATATCAAGTTTATTTTATATATTAGCAAGAAAAGCAACAATTTAGTAACACAGACGTTAAACAAGACGAGAAAAACAAAAGCCGATCGTTTTATAAATATATATTTGCGAATGTAGTGATAAATTGGAACATTTTAAAGAAAACGAACAAAAACACGAAATGTTTAACAAACACTGAAGCATTGATGAGAAAAACAATCTCAAGTTCAAATAGACAATGCATTACAACTTGTATCTTGAGACAACAATTTTCGGGATTATTTGTGATGGAATAAAAGAAATATAAGCATATCATGTATTTTTTTACACTAATAATACATTATGTTTCTTTAAGTAATATTCCATAATGTCGAACATCCTGTGGATTATCACATATCCATATATTTCTGTCCATCTTCTTATCGAACTATTTTTTATTCTTACTTGAAACATAACCTGATGTTGTCGACCTTTATATGGTGTTGGTTTAGCATAATGTTGAGTGCCGGAATATAATGGATTAGGTGATAAATATATGCCACGACCATAGACAGCACCATTAGTGATAGGTATGCCACTACTACCGCCAGTCAATAAACCATTACATAATATGTCTAAAGTATTGGCGGTTGCAGTACCGTGATAAGCTACAGGCCATGCATCTACATCTGTTCCTAACCATTTAGAATTTTCATATTTACCTAGTACTTTAATAGCTTTTCTATACCAGCCACATGGTCGCGTGTAAGGTTCTGGACCGCGTTGAAAAGTTTTACGGGCATCATTTATTGTTGTAAAACCATAGTCGTACATTCCGTCAAGAAATGCCACATCTAACATAACACATTCTTGAAATCGACAGTTACGAACAGTGAAATCTGAAAAATGTGGTATATAGGTTGCAACGGAACTCTGGTTGTATTGATAAAATTGAATGTTTTTATCATCTTTCCATTGATTTATTTCATTATCAGTATTCCAATAACTCAATCGAAGACTTTCAGGACAAGTATATTCAGGTGGTTCATTTGTTATTAATAGTGGACAATGTTCTTTTTTATTACTAAATTGAATATGACCATCATTGAATTGAATAACTGATATAATTCGATTATGATTTTCTTTTAATGTTCCTTTTTCAGGTAAATAATCTTCTTCTTTCCATACAGTATTTGGCAATGATTCACTTTTTAAAGATACTGCTAATTTTGATTCTGCTTCTTGTGCTATTTGATATTCAATTATTCGACGAGAATAATATATAACAGCATTACTTTCATACATATCAACTTTCTTACACATAGGACATTTAATTATTGCAGTAGAATTGGATTGTTCAATAGTGGGTAATGATTGTTATTCATTTACTTTTTGACAACAATCATAACAAAATAAAGCTGAACAGTTTGGATCAAGGCATAATCTATGTTTCTCTTGTATTGAATTGTAATTTAAACATTTTAAAGCCGAGATTCCTTCTTTTTGAAATTTCTCAATAATTCTTGATGTACGATATGCTGATAATTGAACTTTATTGCAACATATTGGAGAGGAATGATCGTCACCTGTATTATCACAACTAGATTCAATAACAAATTCGACAAAATACTTGCGTACAACATGGACATTCCAAATTATCATCATTGAGTGGTGATTGACAACAAAAACATTCAAGTTTATCTATTAAGGGTAATGAAGAAGTCGAAGGTTTATTAATTAGGGTAGCTGAGCTAGAAATTGTTTCAATTGCTTGAACTAAACTAGTGTCATCAGATGACATTTTTTTTTTGAGGATCTCTTTTCTCAATACTCAGTTTATTTATCTGTTTTTTTAATTCATTGATTTTTGCTGATGCATGCATCCAATTACTTGACGATTTTAAATTTAATCTTAAGTAAATGATTCCCAAATTGGTTTGATGAATAGCAATAGCTTTTGATTTATCATTGTCTACTTTTTGTTTTGATTGACCAAATGATATAATCACATCGATAGCTTCAGTTGGAAACATTAAATTAACTGCATTGTTATCAAATTCAACTGAACATTGATACTTTGTTACAGCAAATTTATTTTCATTGATATCTAACACGTTTCGACAATAATCATTAATCTCTATTTTATTATTCTGAAATGATGATATAGTATCATCAATGATCGTATCAGGTTGAAAGGTAAATTTCAGTTGAATAATAGAACCATGATTAATTTTTAATTTTGACATAGGGGTATATGCATTATTAGTTAATGAGTAATATTTTCCATTAACCATTATTCCTTGAGCATTTCTACCATCAAAACATTTAGTTGTACAAAATTGAGATAATAACAAACGATCATAAGGTAATGCTATTAATAACGGATAATCATATATTTGGACTAATTTAGACATAGTTGATCTTAAGGATTTAGCGTATGATTCATCAGCATTAACTGAAATAAATATTTTTTCTAATAATTTAAAACAAACTTCTATGTTCATTTTAATGTCTCCTGATAAATCATTAGTTTGGATAATTTTAGTAATATGTTGACGTAATTTATTATGCTTTAGTGGATGAATTAATTGTGATGAAGGAAATATTCCCATTTTAATTTCAGTTATTGGTCAATACTCATGATTTTGGTCTTTATTGATAGTACTAGTAGTTTTAGCATAATCAGAACTTTCATTTTCTGATTGATTAGCATTATTTATAATTAAATGGAACATAATTAATTGTATGATTGAAATGAACTCGTTTTCTTTTAATAATGCTTTTGACTCTTTACGTTCTAATAATAAAAAATGAGATTTATGAATAACTAATAATCGAAATGGTGGTAATGAAACTCAATTTAATCGAAATGAAAGTTTCAGAATTTCTTCATATAATTCTTTGTTTCCATTTTCCAATGAAATCATTATATTTTCATATACTAATACATAATCAACAAGATCAACAGGTATGGTATCAATTTTATTACTATATAATATAGTAGATAATATACGATGAGCTTCACAAATAGTCATAGATTTAGGCAACCATATCGATTTAGATTGGCTATTAGTCATTTTAGAAGATAATGTACTCAATGACTGAATTGAATAGATTTCATATTTAACCATACCACCATCAATAGTCTGATTGATATTATTAGTAGAATTAAAATTACTAAAAATTGTATATAGATCATTGACAAATTCACTTAAGACAGAATCTCCTTTTAATTCTATGGCTTTCGTTTGTTCTTGTCGCTGAGAATTTTCAATTGTTTCTTTAACTATTTTACCGTGGTCTTTTGATGAAAATGAGCTGAAACAATAGTTTTCACTTTCAAATAGTGCTTGTAATATATTAACAGTTGTAGAAGTGTCATAAACCGTTTTCCTATTGCTATTGATGTTACTGTTGTTATTGATAACGCTAGTATCTCGTTTTGATGTGGAACACTGGCAGAATTACCCATTTTCTATGAATTCGTAAATGGAAAATCTGAAATTGTATTTAAATTATAAGAGTAACAGTAACATTCACACCTGATTAATGATGAAAATTTGATTCTTCCAATCCGAAATGAAATTGTTCTTGTGTTCTTTTTTTTACTAATTTAAAAAGAAATATACCATCCTTTTACCAGATAATAAAAGATGAAAAATTGTGGATGTGTGGCTGTGGGTCATCTCTACATCTACTTCCACATCCTAAGTTTAATTATTGAAATTTCTTAAAAATTTACTTCTGCTATTTCAATAATCTTAAGAAGTTTTCTGGAAACTTGAATATTTTTCTGCAGCTGGTTTCAATTACTTTAACAAAAAATTATAGTAACTACCGACCTTGCTTTTTAATGTAGATTTTCTGAGGAACAGACTCTGCAAGTTGATCATTTATGAAGGAAATTTACTTTTTTTATATGATGGACAGGCAGCAAATATCAATCAGATGGGAAATTCCACAGATGATAATGAATAGAAGTGAAAAGCTCTTATAGAGTATATAAAATAGAAATGAAATGCCCACCAAATGCTAACAGTTAGGAAGAAAAATAATAGCTTACATGTTGTCTCAGGATTTTCTCGGAAACTCAATTAGGGACCAGTATAGGAAATATATGATGTGTGATTGGTCGCTTATGTCGGTGTTTATATGGCACCTACACGAGGTACAATGCTTCATGTGTGTCGTCACGTGTGTTCGTACAATATATCCTATATCTTTAATGTTGGTTCTTAATTGAATTTCCAGGGATACCCGTATAAGACATCATATGATGTAACGGCTATATATATAGGGCGATAATAGGAGGAGGAAGTTCACATCATGGAAAATCCCATCGAGATGCCGAAGAAAGAACGATTCATGAAACCCGTTGAAAGAAAAAACATCGGAAAAGGAAATGTTCATCAGACTTACACAATAGAAAAGGAAAGTCCACAATTCATGGTTAACAACGAGAGACAAGAAAAGCTTAACTGCATGCATATAACATACAGATAACAAGGAAAACTCCTATGATCTATTTTGGAGAAAGTGCAGGTGATAACAATCTAATAAGACGTTTAGCGAAAATACAAACGTTTAGTCTCTTTCTTTTTTCTAGAAAAGCATTACATAGCATTTCTTTTTTAATGACTTCGACTTGTTGAGTGATTCAAATCTTTTAAATTGTCCAATACTGGGGCGATCTTTTTACAGATTTTTTTTTCGGCATGTTTTTACAAAAACAAAATGAATAGTACTGAATCAAAATTCAAGCAATTAAAACAAATATCATCCATGCGTATTTCCGGAAAGAGAAAACAGGCTAGTTTTTTGTATTTCGGCAAAATGTCTTAACTTTCAACAATGATTATGAAGTTTGTCTGTAGAAATAAAAACTCTGTGCATTTATCTATTATCCAAAAACAAATTAGTTAGTGAAGTTCAGTCAATAGTGAAATAGAACGAAGTAACTTTTAGGAAGGGACTTCTAGGACACTGTATATTATATATATATACATAAGAGATAGAGGATAGATATAGGAAGTTAAACATAGAAAGAAAGGGTTACGGATAGACATAAGGGGTTAGAAATAGGTGTAGAAACATACGAAACATATTGGTGTGAATGGTCAGTGAGAATTCTAAAAGGTTAGAAATAGATAGACGGGTTTACAGATAGGCATCGAATCGTTAGATAAAAATATAGGTAGATGAAGTAGATGTTTGCGCATATATAGATAAACGGAATCTAATTCCTGCAGCCTAATAGGTAAGTGATACATCAAAGTCTTTTTTCAAGCAATTAAAAAAAGGATCCGACCGAAATATTTTTCGTACGGGGTGGGTAAAGCGTTTCAATTTGATTGCAAAAAACGGAGCTTTTGTGGATTTTGTATGGTACCTTTTTGTTTATTTCAGCGTATGAATATTAAAAATACGTCTTCATTCATGATCAAATTATAATCACAAATTTGACAATACTAACTGCTATCTGTAACGACTTTTTGATGAAAGAAGTGTTAATTCCGATAAAGTTATGAGTTATTCCCTCTTTTCATATCGTCAATCGCTCTCCATCCATACATGAACGCGTGTTTTTTTTTGCGCCATCATGAGGGAGAAGAAAACAAGAAAGAACGAAAGGAGTAGAGAAAGAGTCAAAAAGAGAAGTAAATAATGATACATAGTTATGACAGAATGAAGGGCAAAGCTTGTAATAGGAAGAAATGATAAAGAAAGATTAAGCGTCATGTATAAACAGTCGATTAAACCAAGCAGTGCCAGTATATAATGGCATACAATAAACTCGACGGGAAACGTCACACTATCTAGTTCAGGTACTATTCACTATTATGGTGATTTAATATTCTTTGTAATTTATATCCCTAAACAGGCATAATTTTACTCACTTTTAGTGCATAATCAATCGTCTGCTCAAGATTGGGATTATTTCTAAGAATAAACCACTTTATTTCTTTTCATCGTATATATACTTATGAAGAAAATTTTTTCCAAGTGATAAAGCCTTTTTGAAGAATGGTAAAGTCTTTTTATGACTGAGTGTCAATAAAGTAAAAAAAATCGCTGATTCTTTCTGAATATATTTTGTCGTTCTTTTGTTTTTTTACTCTTCGAACTTAAAAAGATTGGTGTTTATTCCGGATAAGAGTGACAGAAGGAAAATATAACACCCCTTAATCAATAAACCACTTTATCATATTTTTATGTTAGTCTTTCTATGTAAAATAAATTCGATTCAAAAATTTACTAACATAAGTCTGTTAAATCACAGTGGATACCTATAGCTGCCTTTGAATCATTTTGTAATCTGTATTTATTTCTTGTACTATAGCAAAGTTTTCATGTTATCTCTTGCCATTTAATATAAATGCTTTTTTTAGAACTATCCGACCAGGCAAAAATTTCTAAAAACGTATTTAAACGTCCTAAGTGGAATGGGGTGTGGCTGTAGCTGTTGCTGTGGGTTTAGTTGTGGCTAAGCTTGAATGTCTTCGGCCCACCCACATCCACACTCAAGGTGTTCAAACGCATTTTTAAAATTTCCTGCCTACTAGGGTATTCTGGCAAAAGTGACTCAGAGTGATTCATAGAGCTTGATTGGTATCTTTCTTAACACTATTATTTATAAATAAAAGTAGCTGCACAGCAGAGTTTTATTCATACTAAAAAAATATTCTTATGTACTGTATGATTTTCAATACGAAAAGATCAACAAGCCATGGTTTTAACTTAGTTTCACTTTCTTTGTAAGTGAAAGCTCGAAAAATTACCATTCTTCACTTTTTTAAATGATATAACGGTATGATGTCGACGTTTATTAATCAATCATAAAGAATGTTCCAAAAGTTTTGAAACAATTTTGAAATTCATCGCTCTTGTATTCAACAAAAGCAATTTCTTTTTGTAATTTTGACGGATTATTTTGTCTCACACGATAGTAAAATGTTATGCATGATTGATGTTTCGGACAATATTGAAGTATTTTATTGATAAAATAAGACGAAACTTTGATTGAAGAAGAGATTGTACATTAAAAAAATGTGTCACTTTCGTACTATTAATATATGTTTTGTAGAGAAAATTTTTCGAGAAATGATATTAATTACTAAAACATGAAATCAATCGAAAGAAACAAATATGACAATTTTCAAATACTAAGATTAAAATGAAAGAGGTTAAGTTATTGGCTACATATTATTAGCCATCATCTTCTCTATTAAAGGATAAATCAAATTCATTTCTTATATAGCCAATAGTACTTCATAAGAGTTTAATCAGATTCTACTTATATTAAATCTATCTGTTTTTCCTTTGTTATGAATTTGATTTGCGAAAGATTTTTGATAATAATGATTATAAATGAATTGTTTGTCACTTCTGTTCTCTATTTCATTTATTATTGTCGAGAAAAAATGTATTTTTTATTATAATGATATTTTCCTAGTTTAGTCTCTGTTGCAAATGTTTACAAACGAAAAGTTTGTTTCAAAAATGTTGATCCTTCTTTGTAAATTGATATTATCTATATAAAATAAATATGCAGATAATTGACTGAAATACACAATTTTATAGAGAAAGATTAAAACTATCACTTGAAAAGAAAATATTTCGAATTCCATCGAAATTATGAAAATTTATCATTGTTTTATTTATCATGGCTGAATATTTTACATCTTACCTTTTTCTACAAAACCAAAATATTCTTCTAGTGTCTGACCGATTAAAGTCAGACAAAATATTAAGTCCTGAACATTTGTACATGATTAAACAGAGTTCAACAAGCTCTGTAAAAATATGTTATCAAAACAACAAAATTTTCATCCTCTTTTCATTACAAAACTTAGAAGAAATTAAGCAGACTAATAAAAATCTCACATATATATCGAACAAAATTGTGTATCACAGTCACCTATATAGATATGCATTCATACAGATAACGTCAATTTATAGAGAGGAGGCGAAATTTTTGCACGACACTTCACTATTGTTTACGCTTCGTTTTAATCTGTTTAATTTAGTAATCGTTTCTCTATCACTTGTACGTGCACCAGTCGGCTTAAATCTCTATTTCACTGGTTGAAGAATATCATTCATTGTATAACTCTTCTTTCTTGTTTTTTCGTAATTAATGATATTTTCAAGTAGATAGAACGAACATATAAAACTATTCATTAAAAACCTTTTTGTCGAGTATGATATCAGAGAAATTCTTATTGACTTTCTTTAACATTTTATTAAACATAATCGTAGAATGAAATAAAAATTAAAGTTCACGGAGAGAAAAAGAATTCTAATTAATTAAATAAAACTATAACGTATCTTCGGTACTTAAAATAGTTCAAATTTCATATCCTTATCATTCGACGTGCTTATAAATATATGTATTAAGGGAATATTGAATTTCAATTGACTTAAAATATTCAAATGATAGAGAAGACTCATATCAAATAGAATAATCTAACT